ATGTCCCATCCCCAGCCTGGACAACATGGCAAAACCCCATCTCTACAAAAAATACAGAAATTAGCTGGGTGTGGTGGAGAGTGCCTGTAGTCCCAGTACTCAGGAGGCTGAGGTGGAGGATCCCTTGAGCCCAGAAGTTCGAGGCTGCAGTGAGCTGTGATTGCACACTGCACTCTAGCATGGATGACAGAGTAAGACCCTGACAAAAAAAAGAATGCTCCATTCATGTAACATGCAGTTTCCACTAATTTTAAAACTGAGCTACAGAGCTCCTGGCTCATATTTGGAGCAGAGATTTAAACAGCAAAAAAATACCCTACCAGAGACATGCACAATCAAATTTCAGACTGAAACACAATAAATATATTTAACTTATTGCCCAATGTATAATCACTTTTTGTAAATGGACATGAGAATTCTACATCTAAATGTCTAGACATTTTAATCTCACCCTAAAGGGTAAAAATGATACTGTAAACATTCTATCAATAATCAAACTGACTTGAAACAGAAGACTTCCATGTCTAGGCACGGCCAGGCATGGTGGCTCATGCCTGTAATCCCAGCACTTTGGGAGGCTGAGGCAAGCGGATTACCTGGGATCAGGAGTTCAAGACCAGCCTGGCCAACATGGTGAAATCCCATCTCTACTAAAAATACAGAAATTAGCCGGGTGTGGTGGTGGGTGCCTGTAAGCTACTTGGGAGCCTGAGGCAGGAGAATACCTTGAACCTAGGAGGTAGAGGTTGCAGTGAGCTGAGTTCATGCCATTGCACTCCAGCCTGGGTGACAGAGCAAGACTCCGTCTCAAAAAAAAAACAGAAAGATACATATAAAAATACGGAATGATTTAATTCTTCTTATCTTGCATTTCCATGTTTAGGCATGTTCAAAGAGCTTTAATGTGATATTATGATGCACACTTGAAATTTTAAAAGACAAGGCATTGTATACTGGCTACCCTTTTATATGGGCATACTAGGATTATGAACTTTGATTCCACTTAAATTTTTACTCTATATAAAAGACAGGTAAAATAAGATCCTATACATAGTAACGTGGAATTTTTATATTTTTATATGTTCTACAATCTCCCTAACATTTTAATGAAATTATTTCAATATCTGGCTGTTCTTCGTACATATTAATAACATCCTACGCACCTGTCTCTAAAGAGTTTTGAAAGAGAACTATTCACTCAACAGTTATAACAATATCATGACAAATGCATGCTATGTGGCAGTACATGTGTGTGTGTGTGTGTGTGTGTGTGTGTGTGTGTGTGTCTGATTCACTGGTTAAAACAACAAGGGACAAGGGAGAACAAGTTCTCATGGAGATTCAACAATGGAAAAGAAACGCTGGTCTGATACATGGATGTGATACTTACAAACCGAGAGTTACCACTTAATGGTTACAGAGTTTCTGTTTTGGCAACTAAAAAATGTTTTGGAAATAGACAGTGGCTACGACTGTACAACATTCTGAATGGAATTAATGTTACTGAATTGCATTACTTAAACATGGTTAAAGTGGCAAGTTTTATAATGTATATTATACCAAATTTACAAAATGAATAATTGAGTATACCCAAAACCATTGACATTTACATTTTAAAGGGACAAATTATACGATATGTGAATTCAATCTTAATATAGTTGTTTAAAAAAACTTACAGAGCCCTCTTCCAGAAAAGCTGCCTTGTCAACACTTTGATTACTCATTAGTGGAAATACAAATATTGTTGGTTCTGTGTCAAACGGATGACTCAGAAGAGATGGACACTGACTGTGAAGACATTTTAAGAATTCTTTAATCTATTTTTCTTATACTTTCAAATTATGTAGATGTGAGAACATATGCAAAAAATCTATACTTAAATAAGTGGCTCTTTCAACATTATAAATAAAAGTTATAGATAATTAGAAAGCATCAACATTATTTAATTATTCTATTTAATTCATAGCATTTTTTCTCTTTTGGTGGTGCACGTAATTATAAATCTTACAACTGCATTTTGTTTGTTTGTTTTTTGTTTTTGAGATGATCTCACTCTGTTGCCCAGGCTGGAGTGCAATAAATAGTGCATCCCCCCATGTTCAAGCAATCTTCCCACCTCAGCCTCCCAAGTAGCTGGGACCACAGGTGCATGCCATCACGCCTGGCTAATATTTGTATTTTTAGTGGAAATGGGGTCTCACTATGTTGCCCAGGCTGGTATCAAACTCCTGAGCTCAAGTGATCCACCCACCTCAGCCTCCCAAAATACTGGGATGACAGGTATGAGCCACCACACCTGGCTACAATCACATTTTTTTCCTTTTTTGTGGCACATGTAATTGTACATCTTACAATCAATGTGGTTTCAGATCTAAAGTTGAGACTTAGTAAAAAGGGGGAAGAAATGGAGACATGAAGCTTCTAATCTCCAAACACCTATGTACACAACACTCCTAGCACCATATATATATGCCTGTGTTCATATACATGTGACCCTTTTCCTAAGCTTCCTGTGAAATCAAACACACATTTTCATTCCAACAAAGCAATTTCTGGAAAGTTATAAAAGACACTGGGGAAAGGTATTTAAAATGAATACGATTTTGCTAATTAAATATATTTGCTATTACAGTTACTAAAATAAAGGTACTGGCTCATGTAAAGCTATGACAAAGCAGAAATCTGATGGAGATATTATGTCAATTACTCATTTGAATCCATGACTCAGAGTATTTTAAATATACATATGGAAACCAGAGTCTTTTCATAACCAGACTCCACAAACAAGAAATGTGTGCCAAGACGTGACAAACACAAATCTTAAAAAGCTTCACAGATTTAAATCTTCCATTTAAAGCACAAACTATTTTATCAACGCTTTTATGTAATCCCCAAAATACAGCAGAACTGAGTTTAAAATTCCAAAGATGTTTTCTGGTTTCAGTGATAGAAATTACTTATCCTATCTACAATAAACACATGCGGTAGGACCCACAAGTTCAAAGAGAAAATTCATATACTACTGGAGACAATTCTGAAATTTTCTCGTTATATATGAAAAGAAATTTGTGATGGATATCTCTGGACCATAACTTTCCTTTTTTTTTTTTTTCCTTTCTTTCTTTTTTTCTGAGACAGAGTCTTGCTCTGACACCCCGGCTAGAATGCAGTGGTGTGATCCCGGCTCACTGCAACCTCTGCCTCTGGGATTCAAGCAATTCTTGTGCCTCAGCCTCCCAAGTAGCTGGGATTACAGGTGTGCATCACCACACCTGGGTCATTTTTGTACTTTTAGTAGAGATGGAGTTTCACCACGTTGGCCAGGCTGGTCTTCAACTCCTGACCTCAAGTGACCTGCCTGCATTGGCCTTCCAAAGTGCTGGGATTATGGGCATGAGTCATCACGTCCCACCTGGACACATAACTTTTCAACTGGAAGAAAAGTATTCTAAAACTTTGTATTTTTACAATAACTTAAGAATCATTTTAGTCACTATTACAGGTAACATATGTTCACAGAAATTAGAATAAATAATAATACAACTATCCATGATCTCACTACCCAGCTATAATTGCTATCACTGCTTTTCCCTCTAGAGCCTGTCTTTATCAGGGGAAGGACAGTGAAATGACTAAGTGCCTGGTTCTGAGCCTCACTCCCAGGTTTAAACCCTCCTCTTCTACTTCCTAGCCCACGTGATGTTGGGCAAAAGAGTTAATATGTCTATGTGTCATCTGTAAAATAGAAATAGCAGTGATACCTGCTTCATCGGATTTTTAATGTCATTATCCTGCCCATACAGTTTTGCTACCTGCCACTTTCACTTAATAGAATGTGTGAACAGTTGCTATGTCATTCGATATTCTTACATAAAATGTTTAAGGGCTACAATTATTCCGCTACATGGCTGTTCCATAATGTATTAAGATCCCTATTGCTAAGCATTTAAACTGCTTCCAATTAGTTGCTATCGTACAACAAGCAGTTACATGAGGAGAGTGGGAATGAGTGGAAGCTGGAGATCCCACACTGCAGTGACAATCACAGCAAAAGCGGCTTCACACAGACCAGGCTGTTTGCCTGTGACCTGGCTGCTGCATTTCCTGGTTACCCAAGCTACCTTGCTTCTTGCTTTTTCTCAAGTTTGGTGCCCAGCCTCTGGCCCCTCTAGGCACTCCTAGCAGCATTCCAATTAGTTCTCTTAAGACTAAATTAGCCAAAGTTGATTTCTGTTGCTTGTAACCAAAACACCCCCCTGATAGAAAAGACATTATTCCCCTCTATAAATATCCCATTCATTTCAAAATAGACTCAATGAAAACCTGTGATACATACACAGGTATACACATGCACACACACGTGAATAAGCTACACAACCAATCAACCTTCACAATCTGCCACGTCCCAAGAAGCAGCCAGTGAAACTAGACAGCTACAATGCAAAGCACAAATTCTCTCTGAAAGACATTTTTATCACAACGAAAATTCTGGCATGAGTCTTCATGCACTATGAGCTTGAGATGCTATACTTTCACTAATGCAAAATTATTTAGAATATATGTGCTACAGAAAGACTAGTCTTTCTCAGAGGAAAAAAGATAAATGACACATTATACGCAAATACAAATACTAAAACCACCACCACTACTACTAATTACTAACAATGACATCCTACTCTATACTATGTCAGGTACTGTTGTAAACCCTTTTCATGTTAACCATCTAATTCTTGCAATTAATCTATCACAGGGACTACTCTTACACTCATGTTATATGTGAGGAAACTGAGGCATCAGAAAGGCTGAGTAGCTTGCCCAAGATAACACAGCCATTAAGGATTTAAACCCAGACAATTTAGCTTCAAATCTGTGTTCTTCACCACCACGTATATTGCTTCTTGATTTTTGTCTTATAACGATAGATTTTTCCATGCTAATCATATATTAAATATTGGCTGTGTGTCTTACAGATGGGGCCTAAATGGCCAGAGGATATTTACCACACAGTTGGATGAAGACCATCTCCTATCGCCTGTCCCATTAAGACTACGATTCCAGTCCACAGAGTGACTATCACTCCCCTTCTCCCAGCAAATGCCAAGCGCTGTTCTACTTCCAAGCCTTTGCTCAATCTATCTGCATTATTTAAAATCCCCTCCCAACCCATCACTGCTTTGTCTACTTCCAACCAATCATGTCAGGGCAAGTTCAAATGCCACGGCCTATCCAAACCTTCCCCAAAGCCCTCCAGCTGGAATGAATCTGCCTCTCTCCACATTCCTGTGATTCTGTTTACCTTCCCATCCCTCCCTTCCCAGTGTAAAATTCTACAAGGCAGGGACTACATCTGGTCAATTCTCCTTTTTTTCTTGATATCCTCCATGGTATAGAAGAAGGTTATTGCCAAAAGTAGTTGTTCAATTAACGACTACTGAGGTTCAGAAAACTGGGGTATTGAAGACTTCTCTACCAAAATGCAATCCCAAGGAGGCAAACTGGAAAATATCAAAGATTTAGAAAAATTCAGCCTATCATGAAACGACTATAAAGCCCCCCTGTAAGTCTATATCTAAAACCCTATCATTAAGATACACTGTGGTTTGTGAAATTTCAGCATTTATTCCAGTAGGTCCTTTTATGGTCTGAATGTGCACACTGTGAGAAATGAAAGAGGAAATTTTTGGGGAAACTATTTAAAATATTTGGTAAATACTGGGAACACAAGGTCACACGAACCACAAGGAAAAAGCCTGAAACTCGCTGCTACTTTCATAAGCAGTGTGGGTGCTAACTGCAAGCAAGTCAGACAAGAGCCAGCCTGCTTTTAACAAGTCCACTGTTGCTGGGAGCGGTGGTGTATGCCTGTAATCCCAACCACTTGGGGCAGAGGCAGGATCGCCTGAGCCTGGGAGTTTGAATACAGCCTGGGCAATATAGTGAGACCCTTTCTTTTGAAAAAACAAAAAAGAGAATTCCAGTGCCTTCTGCAACCTTTTCTCCCTTCAGTTGGTTTTGTCCAAGTGATTTAAGGATTAAATCAAAGCTAAGCAGTTCCTTGCTTTTTTCGTCCCCAGCTCAAGACTGCATGTATCACAGGCACTAGTGCGGTGAAAATGAAATATTCCTTTTGCATTTTTCCCAAGTAAATGTGAAAAGATGGTAGGAAGAAACCCAAAGATAGTTTTAATCATTAACCAAATGGAAATAACATATCATAGATTCTGTGATAAGTTTTTGGTAAAGGTACATTCCTGTGTCACCAGGAGAAACAAGATTGAGCAAAGATGACTCACTGCCCTCAGCACCTGCAAAGCAAACACGGAAAGAGAACTCCCATCACCTCTGTAGAAAGGGCATGAAACCCAAATGTACCATCATTAATTCCTCCACCACCACAAAGAACCCTCACCATGGGGAGCCTCTCAGAGAAAGCATTCCTTTTTGGAAAACTTCATATATTTTAAAGTAACTTAAAGAAGGTATGCGGATTATTTGTAACTTGAAGGATAAATGCTTCCAGGGATGGATACTCCATTCTCCACAATGTGCTTATTTCAAAACATCTCATGTACCTCATAAATATATACACCTACTATGGACCCACAAAAAATTTAAAAGATAATAAAATTTTAATTCTCACCCAAAAAAAAAAAGAAAGAAAGAAACTGACATTAAGATATTTCTGATTGGGCTTCATTGATTCCTTAAGATCCAGACTCATGAGGAGTTCCTGGAAATCCCTTGGACCTAACACAACTGACAAATGGGAAACAACTGTTCTTGAACAGAGAAAGTTGGGCGTCAACCTCCAGCCATTCTCACTGCAAACGATCTTTCTGTCGTATTTGCAGGGCTACCCTGTACCAAACAGCATACAGTTACAGAAAGCAAGAAAGATTAAGCTTCTCCCATCTTTCTCAGAGCCAGTCCTAGAGTGGCATTAAGTGGCATTCCTGGAGAAAAGAAGTTGCCCTGGCCAGGCACAGTGGCTCATACTTGTAATCCCAGCACTTTGGGAGGCTGATGCGGGTGGATCATGAGGTAAGAAGTTCGAGACCAGCCTGGCCAACATGGTGAAACTCTGTCTCTATTAAAAATACAAAAATTAGCCAGGCATGGTGGTGGGCACCTATAAACCCAGCCATTCGGGAGGCTGAGGCAGGAGAGTTGCTTGAACCCAGGAGGCAGAAGTTGCAGTGAGCTGAGATCACGCCACTACAGTCCAGCCTGGGTGACAGAACGAGACTCTGTCTCAAAAAAAAAAAAAAAAAGTTGCCCTTAATGAAACCTCACACTTAATCGATCTTTTGAGTATTAGTAACAACCAGGGTATTGAGACATCTTGTTGTTCACCTAAACAGCCAGTCTATTGGCATATCTACACACCTGACCCAGAAACTAGGTGACAAATAGCCCAAAAGTGTGAAAAGCATGGAAAGTGAAGTTGCTGACCTAATTTGCTATGGGAGAACCCTTTCTAAAGTCATTCTTCTTAAAATCTCATTCAGAACAGACATCTCTGAACTCTCAGGTTTAAGAAAATCCCTTGAAAGTATGCAAAACCTGGCTGGGCAAGGTGGCTCACGGTAATCCCAGCACTTTGAAAAGCAGTGGCAGGTGGATCACGAGGTAAGGAGATTGAGAACATTCTGGCTAACACGGTGAAACCCTGTCTCTACTAACAATACAAAAATTAGCTGGGCATGGTGGCACATGCCTGTAGTCCCAGCTACTGGGGGGCTGAGGCAGTAGAATTTCTTTAATCCAGGAGGCGGAGGTTGCAGTGAACCGAGATCATTGCGCCATTGCACTCCAGCCTGGATGACAGAGCAAGACTCCGTCACAAAAAAAAAAAAAAAGAAAGAAAGAAAGAAAGTATTCAAAAACCCGTAACAGAAGAAACCTTATCAAACTGTAAGGAAATTCACAACCTACTCACAACCTAAAGAACACTTGGCCATTGTTGCTGTGTGGAGCCTTAACAACTGGTCCATACCAGGCATTCCCTGTTACGCCCTTGCACCCAAGACTTGCAATTTAAAAAGATTAAAAGGACTGCTCATCTTGCAAAGAATCATTCCCTTATTAAAGGATAGTAATACTTAAGGTTGAAAATAAATCCCTTAGAGATGTGCATGTGTTTGCATGTCTGAGAATACATCCTGAGAAAACATGTATGCTGAAGATCATGGACACATAGGTCATTATAGGCACATATGCAATCTGATATTGCAGGTCCTTGTAACAGCCCAACCCCAGACTTTGACCTCTCTCTGGATGGCATCCTCACGTGGTGACCTATGAAGGACCGTGGTTAATTACCTGAGAGGTTAACTTTTAGAATTTTTTTTTTTTTTTTTTTTTTGAGTCTTGCTCTGTCACCCAGGCTGTAGTGCAGTAGCGTGATCTCGGCTCATTGCAACCTCCCTCTCCTGGGTTCAAGCTATTCTCCTGCCTCAGCCTCCCTAGTAGCTGGGACTACAGGCACGTGCCACCATGCCTAGTTAATTTTTGTATTTCTAGTAGAGATGGGGTTTCACTATGTTGGCCAGGATGGTCTCGATCTCCTGGCCTCGTGATCCTTCCGCCTCAGCCTCCCAAAGTGCTGGGATTACAGGCGTGAGCCACCGCGCCCTGCCAACTTTTAGAATTTCTAATAGAACAGAACTCCACCAGGGAAGACAGCTTGAACATCAGTCAGAAAGATTCGATGTAAAGGGACCACAGCAACAAAACCAGGGCACTTTTATTTTTTTGAGATGGCATCTCACCCTATAGTCCAGGCTGGAGGGTAGTAGCACCATCTTGGCTCACTGCAACCTCCATTAACTGGGTTTAAGTGATTCTCGGCCAGACGCAGTGGTTCACGCTGGTAATCCCAGCACTCTGGGAGGCCAAGGCAGGTGGATCACCTGAGGTCAGGAGTTTGAGACCAGCCTGGCCAATATGGTGAAACTCCATCTCTACTAAAAATACAAAAAAATTACCCGAGTGTGGTAGGGCACAATTGTAATTCAAGCTACTCAGGAGGCTGAGACAGGAGAATCGCTTGAACTCGAAAGGTGGAGGTTGCAGTGAGCTGAGATCATGTCATTATACTCCAGCCTGGGTGACAGAGTAAGACTCCATCTCAAAAAAAAAAAAAAAAGTGATTCTCATGCCTCAGCCTCTTGAACAGCTGTGATTACAGACATGAGCCACTACACCCAGCTAATTTTTGCATTTTTAGTAGAGATGGGGTTTCAACATGTTGGCCAGGCTGGTCTCAAACGCCTGGCCTCAAGTGATCCTCCCACCTCAGCCTCCCAAAGTGCTGGGATAACAGACATAAGCCATTCCACCTGGACAAACCAGGGCACATTTAAAAAGAAAGGGTGCTATTATTAATTATGCTCAGACAAGTTTTTTTTGTTGTTGTTGTTTTGGGTTTTGTTTGTTTTGGAGATAACACTTCACTCTTGTTGCCCTGGCTGAAGTGCAATGGCATGATCTCACCTCACTGCAACCTCCACCTTCCAGGCTCAAGCGATTCTCCTGCCTCAGCCTCCTGAGAAGCTGGGATTAAAGGCACACACCACCACGCCTGGCTAATTTTTGTATTTTTAGTAGAGACGACGTTTCACCATGTTGGTCAGGCTGGTCTCAAACTCCTGACGTCAGGTGATCCACCTGCCTTGGCCTCCCAAAGTGCTAGGATTACAGGTGTGAGCCACCACGCCCCACCTGGACAACAGGTTTTAAACAGAATTATTCCACGAAGCAGCAGAAAATATGGTTGCCACCCTAGAACACATCCACCAGATAAAACTGTTTTTGCGCTTCGAGGGATATTTCTGCTGTTCTACAGATGCCAATACACGTTAATAATTCACCTCCTATTAGGCATACTCTTTGATGATGAAAGCATAATAGAAGTTAGAAGAAAAAGGAAGGTTAGATATGGCTAAGATTTGGAATACACCGTGCTTCCAGTTAGCTGATGCAGGGACTGACAGCAATCTTGCTCATCTGAGGTTTGAGAAGGGCAAAGCAGTGGCCAGGCATGGTGCTCTTGCCTATAATCCCAGCACTTTGGGAGGCCAAGGCGGGCAGGTCACTTGAGGTTAGGAGTTTGAAACCAGCCTGGTCAACATGTGAAATCCCGTCTCTACTAAAATACAAAAAAATTCGCTGGGTATGGTGGCACATGCCTGTAATCCCAGCTACTCAGGAGCCTAAGGCAGGAGAATTGCTCGAACCCAGGAGATAGAGGTTGCGGTGAGCCAAGATCACGTCACTGCACTCCAGTCTGGACAAGAGAGAGACTCTTTCCCAAAAAAATACAAGAAGAAAAGGACACAGCAGCATTGCCCATTATATGCACAGCACTAGCTGTAAGCCTAAAGTAATATGCACACTTTAAATCAAAGAAGGTTGGTAAGAGTAAGAGCATAACAGAATGAATGGAATTCAGTATTGATGAGAGTTAACAAATTCGTGGTGTGACCTGCAATTTAGCAAAGGTTTGAGTTTTCTTACTATGATATGAAGCTAACCTAACCATGGTGCAAGCCATTCCGGACACCTAGAAATGGCATGTTCAGGGAACGGCATGACTCCTCATGTGCGGTTATTTGGCCATGCTCCTCCTCTCCAAGCCTACTCTGCTATACGCTGTAACACCGGGGCTAGAGTTCCACCAACTCAACTAGGTTTTCCAGACCCCACGTTGGCTGACTCCCTGTTAACTTCTGCCAGCAGGAAGTCCTAGAGGGAGGATGGAAGATGACAGGAGAGAAAAAGGGACTTCCTTCCCAGTTTCCTATTTCTGTCAGTATGCCACCAGCAGCAGCAGATGGTGCTTCCAGCCCCCACCTTCCGTTGTCACTCTTAGCGCCAGCCTCCCCACACCCCCTCAAAGACACCAGCAAGCCGCAGGGCTTAGCCCTAGGCTGTGTCCTCAGGCTCTACTGTACTCACTCCCTCACCAGCTGGCTCTCCAAACACTGACCAGATGGGACCCCTCTCAGTTCACCTGGCACCCACCAGGTCACAAATCCTCCCCAGGGGTTCAAACACTCACTGAGCTACACCCACACCCTCAAACATCAGTACAGCAGTTCCACAGTGCCTCTCTCAGAGGCCCGGATACCAGCTCCACAGGAGCCCTGAACGAAGCTCCAAAGCTGTGCTAACATCACCTCCTACTTTTCCTCAGTGCTGGAAGTGACAGTGTCTGCACTATCCTAGTACCCCGTTTCCTCTGTTTTGTCAGCCTTGGAACACATGTGTAACCCATTCCCTGTATTCAATCTCTTCTCTCTGAAATAGCTGGAGTATCCTGTTTTTCTGACTGGACTCTGACTGAGACACCAAGGATACTGAAAAAGCATTTGATAAAATTCAACATCCATTTATGATTTGTTTAAACTTAATAAAAGAAAAAGATATAAATGCTTTCTCCACATGATAAAAATATACATACTTCAATTCAGAAGGAAACATCACACTTCATGGAGAAATATTTGACACATTTCCATCAAAGCCAAGAGCAAGCAAGGACATCCTGAGAACCACCAACACATAGTACATAGCACACAGACTCTTTTGTAGTACAAGAGTGTTGGGGCTGGGTGCGGTGGCTCATGCCTGCAATCCCAGCACTTTGGGAGGCTGAGTTGGGCAGATCAGGAAGTCAGGAGTTAAGAGACCAGCCTGGCTAGTATGGTGAAACCCCATCTCTACTAAAAATACAAAAATTAGGCCAGGTGAGGTGGTTCACGCCTGTAATCCCAGCACTTTGGGAGGCGGAGGTGGGCAGATCACGAGGTCAGGAGTTCAAGACCAGCCTGACTAACGTGGAGAAAGCCCGTCTCTAGTAAAAATACAAAAGTTAGCTGGGTGTGGTGGCATGTACCTGTAATCACAGCTAGTCAGGAGGCTGAGGAAGGAGAATCGCTTGAACCTGGGAGGCAGAGGTTGCAGTGAGCCCAGATAACACCATTGCACTCAAGCCTGGGTGACAGAGTGAGACTCCAGCTCAAAAAAAAAAAAAAAATACAAAAATTAGCTGGGCAGGGAGGGGCACACCTGTAATCCCAGCAACTCAGGAGGCTGAGGCAGAAGAATCACTTGAACCCAGGAGGTGGAGGTTGCAATGAGCAGAGATCGGGCCACTGTACTCCAGCCTGGGCGACAGGGGCAAGACTCCGGCTCAAAAAAAAAAACAAGCGTGTTGGAATGCACTAATCACTCAACAGAGAAAGAAAAGACTGGAACTAAAAAATGACATCCTGAAACATCAGGATTGATATGATTTTTTATCAGGAGCATATACTACAAAACTAACATAAAGAATAAGAAGAATTCAGTAAGATAACTGGGAACACGATTCGAATACTGAAAACAATAGCCTGTGTATCTATGGACAATCTTCGTTCAAAGACGTGATAAAGTCTAATTTAAAGCAATAGTGAAAAAGATAAAATTCCCAGAAATAAACTTCAGAAATAAAAGCATATGAAGAAAGTTTTATATATGAAGGGTTGAACAAATGGAAAACATAACAAGTTTCTGGATAAAAAGACACAACATAAACCCCAGTTATTTCAAAATTAATCTAGAAATTTAATGTAATCCTGTTAAAATATTTATGGAATTTTTCTTGGGGAAGAATCAGGGAACTAGATATTAAGAGCTAGCTCACAAAAATAAAAATCAACAGCCTGCGACTATATGAAAGGACACTCAACCTGACTCAAGAGAGATGCAAATTAAACCTACAATAAGATGCCATCTCTTACCTATCAGATTGACCAGAATCCAAGTTCGACAATCTACTGTAAAGATGATGTGGAAACAGACTGGAACAAATGCAAAATGTTCTAACACCTATGTAGGGAAGTCCAGCCATATCTATCGTATCTTTTTAAATGCATGTGCCTTTTAACTTAGCAATCTCACTCTGGAAATGCAGTCCACAGACAAACTGGCACATGTATACGGGGCTACTTAGCACAGCACTGAGGAGCAGAGTCCTGGAAAAAGCTCAAGTGATCCAGCAACACAGGACTGATGGAGTAAATTCTGGTAAATACACAGCCACGAAAAAGGGTGAGAAAGGCCCCCAGGAAAATAGTAAGTGACAAAAACAATACACAAGTGGTATACACAGGGTGTCGCCTTTTGTGTAAGAAGGGAGTTAACAAGTAAATTTGTGTTTGCTGGTATTTGCATGTTAAGAACCATGGAAGGATCAACAAGAAACTAATAAAATAGCTAGCAACTGCAGGCGCACGACTTGCTGAGTGCTCCTTTTCATAGCACTTTGATTTTTGAACCAGTTAAATATAATACCTCGTCAAGAGGTAATGACAAAATAAAATAATAAATTTTAAAGGCCAAGAAAAATTGAATAAAGGTCAATGATACAAAAAAGCAGTTCAGTGGAAAAACAAATACGAATAACACCTAAAAAACATTTATCCAAAATCATAAGAGAAAAGCCAAGTAAACCAAAAAGAGATAGCATTTATCTACTACCGATTTGTGAAGATCACACAATCTGATACTAAGTAGAGCTGATGATGGCACAGAGAAACAGCCACTCTCAGACACTGCTGATAAGCGTACAAATTAAAATAATCTCTACGAAGAGCTACTTAGCATATTGAACTTTAAATTAATTGTATCAAATTTATCAAAATTATAATTTTTAAATATTCAAAAAATATTTTCATTTTTTTTGTTTTTTACACCTATGCCAATGCAGAGATCAAAATTACAAACTAAAATTTAAAACACACAAAACTTTTGACCCAAAATTACCAGTTGTAGGAATTTATCCACAGATGTGCTTGCATATGCATAAAATTACATATACTCAATGATTGTCACTGCAGCATTGTATATAAAAAGCATAAGACAGCCAGGCACAGTGGCTCACACCTGTAATCCCAGCACTTTGGGAGGCTGAGGCAGGCGGATCACCTGAGGTTGGGAGTTCGAGACCAGCCTGACCAACATGGAGAAACCCCATCTCTACTAAAAATACAAAATTAGCCAGGCGTAATGGCATATGCCTGTAATCCCAGCTACTTGGGAGGCTGAGGCAGGAGAATCTCTTGAACCCAGGAGATGGAGGTTGCAGTGAGCCAAGATCGTACACTACAGCCTAGGCAACAAGACCGAAACCCTGTCAAAAAAAAAAGCATAAGACTGGAAACACCCTATGTGTCCATCAAAGAAGGCCAGTGGGTTTAATGTAGACTATGGTTTGAACATCCCCTCCAAAGCTCATGCTGAAACTTAATCCTTAATGTGGCAGTATTGAGAGGTGGGGACTTTTAAGAGGTGAGGCCTTTAAGATGTAATTAACTGCATTAATAGGTTAAAGCATTAATAGACTAGTGAGTTACCATGAGAGTGGGACTGAGGGCTTTACAAAAAGAGGAAGCGAGTTGAGCGAGTTGAGCGTGGCATGTTAGCACACTCAGCACTCTCACCATGGGATGCACTGTGCACCTCAGGGCTCTGTACAGTCCCCACCAGCAAGAAAGCTCTCACCAAATATGCCCCTCAACCTTGCACTTCTCGGCCTCCAGAACATAAGAAATAAATTTTATTTCTTAGAAATTACCCAGTTTCAGGTATTCTGTTATAACTAACAGAAAACACACCAAAACAATATATATCCATGTGATAAAATACAATGCAGTCATTTTAAAAGACTGAGGGTAAAAATGCCAGAGTAGGTGGTATGGTTTGAACGTCTCCTCTGTTGAAGTTTAATTGCCAATATAATGGTATTGGGAGGTAGGGCCTTTAAGAGGTGATTAGGTCATGAAGGCTCATTAATGGATTACCCTCATTAACAGATTAATGTCATTTTCATGGGAGTGGGTTAGTTATCAGGAGCGTGAACTCCTGATAAAAGGATAAGCTCGGCCCCCACTTTCTCTCCGCATCATGTGCTCACTTGCCCTTTAGTCATGTATGACACAGCACAAAGGCCCTTGCCAGATGCTGAGCTATGCTCTTCAACTGTCCAGCCTCCAGAACTATAAAAAATATATTTATTTTCTTTATAAATTGCCCAGTCTGTGGTATTCTGTTACAGCACCAGACAATGGACTAAGACAGTAGAGAACACCAAAAGTCTTGTCACTCTGTTACAAACTGTCAGAATCAACTGTTTCAGAACACTGAGAAATAATCAAAAGTTTTCTACAAGCAAGGGAACACCTAATAAAAAATAAACAGCTAAGAGAGTGTCATGGACTTTTAATTTACCCTGGTCCCATCCACTCCCCAGTTTAGCAACAGCCCTGAAGGCAACAGTTAACATTCCCAGTATAGGTACCTAGTACTGGAGGGAGCAGAACATACTTACTCTAAAAGAATTGTGGTTGATTTGACCTATCTAGTGACTCCCTGAAGAACTGACTCAAAGGTACGCCTGTCTTTCGCCTAACTCAGAACTATCCCAGGGTTAAGGTAGATATCAGGGTAAGGGTGTGGGAGTGGGGAGGTCTGCAGGGGAGGAGAGAGATGGGGTGCAGGGGCATGCATTTGTTGAAAACATTTATGTACTCATTGCTATTACCTGGGGCAAGGGACAAACAATGGACTAATGTAAGTGCTTGGGAGGAAAGGCTTAGGACTGAGATTCTTTAGGAAATATGGGCTTCATCTGAAGAGCTCCAACATAATTGTGAATCAAGAAGGACATACGCATGCCACAACTGGGTGCATGCTCAGAAAAGTCCTAAGAGGGCCCTAAGCCCCTACCTCTGGCTAACGTTCAGGATCTTTGCAAGCAGGTAGTAAAAACTAAGGCAGAGTTGTAAACTACCTGGCTACATCTTGAAGGCCTGCCTCACAACATACACAGCCCATCTGCAAAGGCTGGGAGGTTTCTGTTGTAGTTGTCATTCCAAACATGTAAATAAATCTCTGGTGATTCATTCGCTGGCCATTAAGCTAGTGGAAGAGAGGCCTCCTCAGTGGCCACACACGACAAAGTATACAGACTTCATAAAATTAGTTCAGAAAAGCCCTAAATGAACAAAGCATAGCCCTAACAAGCAGCAATGATCCACAGGGAGGGAGAGAATCTCATTTACTGATTCACCACATTATAATAGTCAAAAAATCCAGTTTGAAACAAAAAAATTGCAAGACATAAACAAAAAACTATGGCCTGTACACAGAAAAAAAATTAACAGAAATTGTCCCTAAGGAAGCCTAGACACTAGATTTACTAGACGAAGACTTTAAATCAATGGTCCTAAATATGCTTGAAGAGCTAAAAACAAAACCAAAAGCCATGCCTAAAGAACTAATGAAAACCATGAGAACAATGTCTCAACAAATATAGAATATCAACAAAGCAACAAAATTATAAAAAGGCAATCAAATAAAAATGCTGGATTTGAAAAGTACAATAACATAAATTAAAAATTCGCTAGAGAGGCCCGACAGCAGATTTGAACAAGCAGAAAATTAGGTCATGAGAATTGAGAATAGGTAACTTCAGGTTTTCTGGTTTGATGAACAGAAAGGAAAAAAAAGAATTCTTAAAAAACAAAGAGTCTAAGAAGTCTGTGGAATACCATCTAGCATAACATAAGCATAATGGGAATCCCAGAATGAGAGAAGAGAAAGGAGAGGGAAAATTAGTTTTAAAAATAATGACTGCGAGTGTTCCAAACTTGATGAAAAACGTGAATCTACACATCCAAGAAGCTAAACAAACTTTTAAGTAAGATAAACTCAGAGGGATCCACACAGGAACACATTGTAATCAAACTGTTAGATGACAAAGACAAAGAGAGAATCCTGAAAACAGCAAAAGAGAAGCAACTCATCATGTAGAAGGGATCCTCAATAAAAGTCACATGTGACTTCACATCAGAAACCATAGGGCCAAAGGCAATGGAATTATATATTCAAATGACTGAAAGAAAAACACTGTCAACCAAAAATTCTACATGTGCCCAAACTATCCTTCAAATACAAAGGAGAAAAGAAGACATTACAAGGTTAAAAACCAAGAAAGTTTGTAGATCATAAACCTGCTCTATAAGAAATACTGAGGGGAGTCTTTTCAAGGAAATAAAAGTACATTAGACAGTAACATGATCCATATAAAGAAATAAAGAAAATATATAAGTAAATTTTAAAAATCAGTATTAATGTTATATTTCGTTTGTAACTCTTCTTTTTTAAATAAGATTTAGCAGATGACTGCACAAAAATTATTACAAATACACACTGATACACACATAATGAATAAAGATATAATTTGTGAGACTAACAAGATAAAGTGGTGGACAGAACTATGTAAGAGCAAAGTTTTTATTTACCATTGAAGGTAAGTGGGTATTAAGTTAAACTGGATTGTTATAAATTAAGATGTGAATTGTAAACCACAGGGCACCCTAAGAAAATACTATTTAAATGTATACTAAAAGAAATTAAAAGAGAATTAAAGTAATAGACTAGAAAATATTTACTTAACATAAACAAGACATACTGGAGGAGCACAGTAACCAAAAAAGATGTAAGACCGACAGAAAACAAGTAGGAAAATGGTAGAACTCTTCCTTATCAGCAATTACATAAATGCAAATAGGTTAACTAAAAGGCAAAAATTAGAATGGACACAAAACATGATATACCGTCTACAAGAGATTCTTTTTAGATCCAATAACACAAATAGGTTGAAAGTAGAAGGATAGAAAAGGATAACCCATGGAAACAGTAACCAACTGCAGTGGCTGTATTAATAACAGATAAAATAGACTTTAAGACAAAAATTGTTAAAAGGGACAAAGAAACACCTTATATAATGATAAAACCATCAAGATGATGTAACAATTATAAGTGTATATGAACCTAACAACAGAGCCCCAAATGTAAGAGAGAAAAAACTAACAAAATTGAGGGAGAAATAGCTCTACGATAATTGTTGGAGACACCGATACTCCATTTTCAATGACAAAAAAACAACTAGACCAAAGATCAATAAGGGAACAGAAGACTTAAAAAATACTATAAAGCATCTATACCTAACAGACATATACAGGATAGTTCACCCAACAATAGCAGAATGTGTGTTCTTCTCAAGTACATGTGGAACATTCTTTAGGATATGTATTAGGCCACAAAACAAGTCTTAATAAATTTTAAAAGAACAAAGTCATAGAAAGTACCTTCTGTATCCATACTGGAATAAAATTAGAAATCAGTAACAGAAGGAAATTTGGAATTCATAAAAATGTGAAATTATACACTAAACTGTTAACGAATGGGTCAAGAAAAAATGACAAGAGAAATCAGAAAATTCTTTGAGAAGAATGAGAATGAAAATACATTTCAAAATGTATGATATCTAACAAAAGCAGGAAAGAGAAGAAAATGTATAGCTACAAATGCCTATATTGAAATAGGAAGACCTGAAATCAATAACCTAAACTTCCATCTCAAGGAATCAGAAAAAGAACAGCAAATTAAACCCAAAGCAAGCCGAGGAAAGGAAATATTAAAGATTAGAACACAGATAAGAGAAATAGAGACTAAAACAGCAATACAGAGAATTAAGAAAACCAAAAGTTCATTCTTTGAAAAGATCAATAAAATTG